TGTTGTAGTAGTTAAGTGCCATTGAGTCCGTTCTGACTCATAGCGACCCTATATAGGGTTTCTGAGGAGCGCTGGTGGATTTGAACAGCCGACCTTGCAGTTCAAATCGACCTTATGGTCCAGTGCTTTACCTGCAGTGCCACACCAGAACTCCATTCATTTCCTTGCCTTACTACACTGGATTGTTGTTAAGTGCCACTGAGTCGGTTCCAACCCATAGCAACTCTGTTTGGGGTTTCCAAGGAGCAGCTGGTGAGTTTGAACCAACAATCTTGCTGTTTGAGTGGACCTTCTGGTCCAGTGCTTATCCTACAGCGCCACACCGGGACTCCGCTATGCTCGATGGGTGAATCTTTGCTAGAACCTCGTAATTATAGTAATTTGACTGTGGATTCTCTATAGGGTTGTTGTTTTAGACAGTTACATCATCTGTTTCCATGATCTGATAATAAGAATAGTTTGGTTTAAAAACCTTGAATACTTTTACTTTCATTCGTTTTCTTACCTTATTACACTGGATTGTTGTTGTTGTTTAGTGCCATTGAGTCAGTTACAACTCATAGCGACCCACTCCAAGGAGTGGCTGGTGAGTTTGAACCAGTGACCTTGTAGTTTAAGTGGCCCTTTTATCCAGTGGTGATCCTATAGCGCCGCCGTACCAGGACTCTACACTGGACAGGAGACTAGAATGCCTTGCTTACACTGGGTTTTAAAAGGAACACTTCTGACAATTCATACAAGACATGAGGTCTGCTGTCACTTTTTTATACCTACTCTGTTTTATCCCCTTAAATTAAGAAAGTCCTCTGTGGTTCCCAGCCAAGTGTTCTGGGTCTTTCTTAACCAGGAGTGCAGGCTGAGCTTTCTTCGGCCTGTTGTAATTCCAGCAGTTGCAACCCCCAGCTCGTATGTTCTTGTCCATCAGTCACAAAAGCATCGTTGGCACTGTGCTCGATGGTTGGCACAGCTCTAGAACATGTCCTTGTCCCTCTGTCCTCGCATTTCCTCAGTCAAGACATCACTATGATGAGCCTGAGATGTGCAGAAAATAAGGCACAACTTGTATTTGAACTCAGAACTTGTGACTATCAATCGCTAGCTCTTGCTGACCATTCTAATGAGCATGTTTTCTGTCGTCCGTCTGTCAGTCTGTGGTACTGTGGTGACTTAGGTTGCCTCTGTAGGGCTGGAAACAATGCCAACAGTTTTCCCAATACCAGCAGGGTCACCCATGGAGGACAGGTTTCAGTGTAACTTCTAGACTAGGAAGAAGGACGTGAGGATCTACTTCTGAAAATAGTGAGTGGAAAGTCTGTTGAACCCCGTAGAACGTTGTCCAATATAGCGCTGGAAGCACACAGCTTTCAGGCAGGAAGACACTCAAAACACACACTGACTGGAACAATGGACTTGAACAAATGGACAACCATGAAGATGTCTCAGGACTGGGCAATTTCATCTACAAGGGGTCACCAAGAGTTGGAGACAACTTACAACTAACAACGTGTTAACCTTTTTGTTTGTTATTTTTTTTGTCACTTTCACCTGGTCTGTTGCTTATCTTTTAATTGACTTAATGTGTTTCTTACATGTAGGGGTTTTCAGTTTTGGGTGTAAACACTTTATCAATTTATCAATCTCTTCTATGGTTTTTTGCCTTTTGGTATTATTTAAGCAGCTTAGTTTTTTTTATAAACTCCAATTCCAAGGAACATTGTTGTTAGCTGCTGTTGAGTTGGTTTCAACTCATAGCAACCCAATGCACAATAGAGCGAAACATTGCCTGGTCCTGTGCCAGCCTCACAATTGTTAGATTTGAGCCTATTGTTGCTGCCATGGTATCAATCCATCTTATTGGGGGTCTCCCTCTTTTTCACTGAATCTCCACTTTACCAAGCATGATGTCCTTCTCCAGGGACTGGTCCCGCCTAGCAACATGTCCAAAGTATGAGAGATGAAGTCTCACTATCTTAACTTCTAAGGAGCATTCTGGCTATACTTCTTCCAAAACGTATTTTTCTGGCAGCCCATGGGCCTTTAAGTATTCTTCTCCACACCGTGATTCAAATGCATCAAATCTTCAGTCTTCCTTATTCACTGTCAATCTTTTACATGCATGTGAGGCAATTGAAAAGATCCATGGCTTGGATCAGATTACTTAAACTCTGACATTTTTTCTCTTAAACACTTTAAAGAGGTTTTTTTTGCAGCAGATTTGCCTAATGCAACGTGTCATTTGATTTCTTGACTACTATTTCTCTAATCATTGATGGTGGATCCAAACAAAATGAAGTCTTTGAGTTCAATCTTTTCTCTATCATAATTTTTTTTGTTGATTTAGTTGTGAGGAATTTTGTTTTCTTTACATTGAGGGGCAATCCATACCGAAATCTTTGATCTTCATCAGTGTTTCAAGTCCTTTTTGGTTCCATCAAGCAAGGTTGTGTTATGTGCATATCACAGATTGTTAATGAGTCTTTCACTAATCCTGATACCATGTTCTTCTTCAAATAGTCCAGATTCTCAGATTATTTGCTCAGCATACAGGATGAATAAACAGGGAAGGATACATCCCTGGTACACATCTTTGAAGTGCCATTGTTATTGTTAGGTGCCTTCGAGTCGGTACTGACTCATGGTGACCTTATGCACAGCAGAACAAAACACTGCCCGGTCCTGGGCCAATCTCACTATCATTGCCACACTTGAGCCCACTGATGTTGCCACTTTGCCAATCCATCTCACTGAGGATCTGTACTAGCCCACAATTCTTCTAACCTTTTTATAGTTCTTCCCTTTCTCCTCTGCCAGTTTACATTTAGCACTCTAATCCATATGGAGTTTGTTATTTTTACAGAGATTAGATTTTAATTTTGTTCCAGGTGGCCTTTCAGTTGTCCTGAAACTACTCACTGGGTATCCCACCTTGAGGCTATTACATTCTGTGTTTATTACTGTAGTAATAAACACATTTACTCTCAGGTAAAGTAAATTCTCACACCCCTCTTATCTTCATTTTCAAGAGGGACTTGACTATTTTTTTACACAGAACATGCCATATGAATTTTCTAAACAGTTTGAACAAAATCTGTGAACAGTCCTATTCGAATTTTGATTGGATTGATTGCAATTGCACATTAATTTAGAGAGAGTTCACAGTTCTTGCAACGTTGCAACAGTATTTTTTTACTTCGTAAATTTCCTCTAAACATTCAATATATATATTAATATCATTTTTAAATGTATGGACATATCAGAGAAAGGAACATGGGGCATCGACCAAATCACATCACTGCTCATTTCCTCCAAAGCCTTTGCTTAGATTCCCTTGCTAACATAAGGCTTTTAATTTTTCCCCGCTGCTTTCATGATTAGATTTGGCTAAACTTTCTGTTGTTATTTTGTTCTTCTGCTCTGCTCCCCACTCCAAAAGCAGTTGTGTTTGATTCCCCTGATTTCTGTGTCTGATTTGTATAACTTTGTTTTTATTTTATTATTTACTTCCATGTTTTTTTTGTATTCCTCTTTGATATTTCTGTAAAATCTCAAGTGGAATGTACACATCAGTTTTCTTTCTCTCCTTCTCATGATAAAATAATTAAAGGCCATGAATTTGCCTCTGAGTACAGCTGAGGCCACATCCTATTGGTTTTGAGTGTGCCATGCTCGGTGGAGTTATTTTCATACATATTCCAAGCAATTCTTCCAGCTTGTTTCTGGGTTCCTCTTCTTAACCAATGGCTGATTGGCTGATTGGTTGTTCTTAGCCCATCTTCCACATTCCTAATATTTTTCTTGTCATTGTTAAATGCCATCAAGTTGGTTCTGACTCATAGTGACCCTGTACAGAATTTCCAAGGAACAGCTGATGAGTTTGAACCCCAGGCCATGTGGTACAAAGTCCAGTGCTGGTCCTACAGTACCCTACAATAATATGGGAACCAGGTTGTTTTGCATGATCTAGGCCACTTGAGATCTGCCTTCCCCATGATAAGAGATGCCTGCCCTGGCTCCCTGGTGTCTTACAGCTTCTAGGTTAGAGGTTGGCATGTTGTGTGAAAAATTTTCAAGTAGTAGACCCACACAGCCCACAGACTTGAGTGCTCTGAAAAGCTGTAGAAATACAGGAAGGTGGTGTCTGCTAGCAGCCCAGAGAGCTTGTCGGCATCTGTGCCACCCACATTTGCTCAAATGTTCGGTAAATACCAAGTACATGATCCAAAAACTACAGGCTTTGTGGAGAGTAATTAAGAAGTACTTTCTCTGATCATTCTTAAAAGCCCATGCTTTGAAAGCATTTATAAACCCCATTCTCAAACTCTGCACTCTAGTATTACTATTGAGATATATGATGTTTCATAGCTCATATAATCTTGGTTCTATATGTATACATATGTTGTTGTTGTTAAGTGCCATTGAGTCAGTTCCAACCCATAGTGACCCTGTATAGGATTTCCGAGGAGTAAATGGTGAGCTTGAACCGCCAACCTTGCCGTTCAAACAGTTTTGCCGTCTGGCACATTAACCCAAAGCACCACATCTACTTGATTCCAGATTTTGCATAATAATTCATCTGATGTATATATTGATTCCTTTGTTTTAGAAAACTAGCAGAATGTATTAAAATCAAGTGTTAGGAAATTTCATGGTCTCATCCATAATAACTTTTATTTTGGAATTAAACTATTATTAAATTGTATCTGACTCTGGACCACAGTTTAATAATATTCAGTGCTTCTTAAGGCTTCATAAAGTTAAAAAAAAAAAAAAGGTACTTTCTCTTTCCTACGCTGGGAAGCTGAGTCTCTTTGCAGAGTGTATGTGTGTGTGTGTGTGTGTGTGTTGGGTGGAGGGGCATCAGATGGCAGACTCAGCAGGGGTGGGGTGACCTCTGTCCAAGGTGTTTAGTGACCCTGTTGTCTTAGGTGGCACTGTTCCAGTGGGGTGCCAGGGCTTTCCCGTGGCATCCCACCCTTCATGTGCCTATGCTTGGGTTTCAGATACTGAGAACACCGACATCAAGACGCTCACAGGCCTTTCAGGGCAGCTCATCGATACCGCATGCAAAGTGTGCCAGACCTACCTGGGGCAGGTGAGGCACGAGGACATCGACATGTCAGAGGACGCCACCAAGGACCTCACTGAGGATGAGTGGAATGAACTGACCCAGCAGTACTACTCCCTTGTCCAGTAAGATACGCCCCATCAGAGGCCCTCAGGGTGCACTAGGGGTCTGTGTGTCACTCACGATGGGGAGGTCAGCAGTGGCCCAGGAAAGTGCAGTCTTATCAATTATCTGGGGCACCTGGTCACCTGTTTAATAGCAGGTGACATCCCCTTTGGGGACACCTTTGTATAACAGCCTTATGTGGCCTTCCATCCCCCTCTAGCTCCTGATACCTCATTTGTGCCCCGCAACAGTCTTGCAAGACAAGCAGAGCAGGTGGAATGGACAACCTGGCTCACTCTGGGGAATCAGTGAGGTGCTGGCAGTGATGCCCCTCAATTTCATTGCTCTCACTGCTCTGGAGGTCCACAGGCTGCCCACACATTTCTCCCTTCTCTTGAGGACCAGGATCCAGTGCTCCTTACCCCATGGGCTTGAGTGGGGTTGTGTTTGAGGCTCTGCCTGCTGTCCACTCACCTCACCCCAGCTGGTGCTCTTCCTGTTCCTTCATTACCACCTTCTTCTAACTAATCAGAGGAGCCTTGGTGGAGTTGTAGAATAAGCACTGGGACTGATAACCCACCAGCCACTCCTGTCGGGGACCCGCCTTGACATAGGGGTTTGGTTCACGAGGAGAGGATACCTGATGGCGATTGCAATATATCAAGAATACACAGAAAGAGACAAAGAGAGACAATGAGGCACCCCAAAGCCAGGGTGGATACATCACTGGTGGGCAGGCTTGGGACTACAGGCATCATGGCCTCTGCAGGCAGCAACTCACTGCCCTGCCATCTTTACTGCATGCCCTCCAGCCCGTAAAGCACTGCAATCTTTACTCCATGCCTTCCAACCAGTAATGCACTGCAATCTTTACTCCATGCCTTCCAACCAGTGATGCACTGCAATCTTTACTCCATGCCTTCCAACCAGTAATGCACTGCAATCTTTACTCCATGCCTCCCAACCAGTGATGCACTCCTGGGGAGGCCCGGGCCTCTGTTTTATTCAGGGGAGGAGCTTCACACCAAGCTGGGAGGCACTTAGGCAAGGTACAGCTAACATCAGTACTTTTCCAGACATTCAGGTAACTTCACATCATACTTCGCTGGTTCGAATCCCAGGCTAGCAACTTGGATTCTCAGGCTCAATTAACATATCTATAGCCCCTGAGCTAAGGTGGGGGAAGGTGAGAGTAATGACAAAAGCTTGGGCGGAGTCCTGCTGCTTCGGCTTCCTGAGCCAGGTTTTCAGGAGGACTTGAGATGCCCAGGTGAATGGGCTGCACCTGGAAAAGGATTAGGGAGGATGGGTTCTTTGTCTATAGAACAAAGAACCGAGAAGTAGCTAAGATATTTTCAGTTAATCCTTTGGAGAAAGGCTTAACTTTGCAACCTTTAGTCTCGGCTTTAGGAAAATATCACATTTATCTGTGGATTGTCAAAGGCTCCAGTGTATTAATTTAATATATATAACTGAATATTAAGATGAAAGCAATTTGCCATTAACTGCCAGTGGCCTCATTTGTTACACTCGGCCCTAGAGGGCCTCGAACCTCTGACTAGTCTTACACGGTCTGCAACACACTCCTCCGGAGAAACAGGAAGATTTCTGGTCCCATAGAAATTTACAGCCTCGGAAACGCTGTACAGGGCCACTGTGTGTCAGAATGGACTTGATGGCTGTGGTGGACCTACACTAACAAGTGGGTTTCTGTCATTCATTTTTATTGAGATTGCCGCAGATTCGGTCAAGTGTACAGAGCAAGTTTGTCCACCATGATGGGATACTACATATGTGCTCAACACACAGCCACCATGCCTGTCAGGACAATGAACATTTCTAGCCCCTCTGACCCTCTCGTAGGCCTGCCCCAGCAGAACCTGTCTAGGTCAGGTCTGTCCTGATTCCTACCACTGTCATCTGATGCAGCTGGGTAATCTGCACTGTCTGCTCACTGCTTCAGTCCTTTGTCAAAGATCAGCTCACTGTAGGTGGATGACTTTTCTTCTGGGTTCTCAATTCTTCTCCACTGATCTCTGTGTCTTTTGTTGTGCTGTTTTGAATACTATGGCTGTTTAGTAGGTTTTGAGATCAGGACGTGAAAGGCTCCAACTTTGTTGTTTTTAGTAATGCTTTGCTTATCTGGAGTCTCTTTCTTTTCCATGTGAAGTTGGTGATTCATTTTTCCAGCTCTTTAAAGGCGTTAGTACATGGATTGGGATTGCATTCTTTCTATAAATTGCTTTGGGTAGTGTTGACCTTTTCACAGTGTTAACTCTTCCTTTCCATGAGCATTGTATATTCTTTCATCTTTGTAGGTCTTTTTTGGTTTCTTGTAGTAGTGTTTTGTAGTGTGTTTTCTTTGTATAGGTCTTTTGTTTCTTTGGTTAGATTTATTCCCAAATATTTCATGTTTTGGGTGGCTATTGCAAATGGTATTGTTTTCCTGATTTCCTTTTCAGAGCTCTCTTTATTAGTGTAAAGGAATTGGACTAAATTTTGTCTGTTGATCTTGATCCTGCTACTTTGATGAATCTTTCAATGAGTTCCAATAATTTCCTTTCTATATTTAGGATCGCATCTACAAATAGAGTTTTGTATCTTCTTTGACAAATTAGATGCCTTTAATCTTCCCTTTTCCTCTTATATATCTAGCTTAGATTTAGGTGATAAAGGGTTTTGTATAGGCCATTAATTAGGTTGGAGGATTTCCCTTCTGTTTTCATTTTGCTGAATATTTTCCTCAGGAATGGGTGTTGGATTTTGTCAAATACCTTTTCTGTGTCAGTGGATATGATCATGCCATTCTTTTATTCATGTGGTATATTATGTTGACTATTTTCCTAATATGGTGAAAGGACACAACCCTGACTCACAATTTTCCTGAACTTAAACCATTCAGTGTCCACTAACAACTGCCTATTGAGCTATGTAGATGTTCCTCATGAGTACAATTAAGTGTTCTGGAATGCCCATTCTTCTAGTGGTCCTTTAATGTTCTTCTCCAACACCATAATTCAGATGCATTAATTCTTCAATGGTTTTCCTTATCCACTATCCAAGTTTCACTTGCATATGAGGTTATTGAAAATACCATGGCTTGGGTCAGGCACATGTTAGTCCTCAAACTGACATCTTTGCTTTTCAACACTTTGAAGAGGTCTTGTGGAGCAACATAATGTAAATATGTTGTTTGGTTTCTTGACTGCTGCTTCCATGAGTGTTGATAGTGGATCCAAGAAAAATGAAGTTTTTGAAAACTTCAATCTTTTCTCCATTCATATTGAAGTTTTTTATTGGTCCAGTGGCAAGGATTTTTGTTTTCTTTACATTGAGGTGCAACCCATACTGAAGGCTATAGTCTCTGATCTTTATCAGTAAGTATTTTAAGTTCTCTTCACTTTCAGCAGATAAGATTGCATCATCTGTATATTGCAGGTTGTTGATGAGTCTTCCTTCAATCCTGATGCCATGTTCTTTTTCATATGCAGTTTCTAAAGAGTGTTCTGGCTGTCCTTCTAAGATGGATTTGTTTGCTCTTCTGGCAGTCCATGGTACTTACAGCGTTCTTCTCCGACACCATAACTCAAATGCACTGATTATTTTACAGTCTTCCTTATTCATTGTCCAACTTTCACATGCATACGAAAATGAGGATTTTTGTTGTCTTTATGTTGAGGTGCAACCCATACTGAAGGCTGCCATCTTTGATCTTCATCAGCATTTGAAATGATAAGATTGATAAAGTGGACTTCAAAGATATGCAGTACTCTGCTTATCAAACAACATCAATGAGAAAGTGAAAATATTAATACCTGGTCATGGTGTGGCCCTGTAGGATAAGCATTGAACTATTAACTCCAAGATCAGCAGTTCAAATCCATCAGCCCCTCCTTGGAAACCCTATACAAGGTCCCTATGAGTTGGAACTGATTCGATGTCACTTAACAACAACACCCAATAAAAATCTCATACCTGAAGTGTATAAAGAATGCTTGTAAGTATGTTGCTGTTGTTAGGTTCCATTGAGTCGTTACCGATCCACAGCGACCCTCTGCACAACAGGATGAAATACTGCTCGGTCCTGGGCCAACCTCAAATTGCTGCCATGCTTGAGCCCATTGATGCTGTCACTTGGCCAATCCATCTCGTTGGGGGTCTTCCTCTTT